AAAAATGATATAATGGAAGAAAAAGGTGTAGTGTATTCGTTTAATTGCAATTGTAATCCAGAAAAAACATATATTGGAGAGACAAAAAGAAAATTAAAGATAAGATTAAACGAACATATTAGAGCAATACGTGGAAATTATGCAAAGTCTGCGGTAGCGGAACACTGCAATTCAACAGGATGTGAAATTATATTAAAATCAGTTAAAATAAGAAAAAAAGAAGAAAATAATTATAAACGACAATTATATGAACACATTAATATAATCAAACAAAACAATAGAATGAATAACAACAACGGAAGAGAAATACACCAATCATGGAGAAGAATGATAGCCACAAACAGGAAAGTGACGTATAAAGAGAATGAAAGAGACTGGCAAAGACAAAGTGAAAGTGAAGAAAGACAAAAAGAAATGTAAGTTGGAATTAGTTTTAAATGTACAAATATATAAAATGTTAACGTTTATTGTAAAATGTCAACGTTTAACGAAAAATGTCAGTGTTTAATGTAACAATTATTGGTTTTAATACAGGAATGTTTTAAAATTAATATTGATTGTAATTGGAATGAATTATTGGAGGATAGACGGAATAGAAAGAAAGAACATTAAAATAGTATGAATTTTATAATTTATTATCGTAGGCATAAGAATTTTAAAAATATTGTCGGTAAATTAAGTTTGTTTGAATTTTATTTAGAATTTGTTTGTCAAATACCTGCTGAAGAGGGACGTACAAGTCCGAAACGCAAATTGTATGTGTCCAGGTAATTGTAAAATAAAACAATTTTAATCTGTGTAACTGTGAGGCTGTAATCTTATACACCAGTATGATAAGTCCTATTAATAGAAATACACTGATATAGTGATTGAAAGAATAATTTTGAGTTTATATTTTATATCTAGAGGTGAAGAGAGAGAGATTTGAGGAGTTGGTTTGTAAGTTCAGTCAGTGGAAAAATGGAAACATTTAATTATAGATGTATACAGTAGATAATATCATTCAAAAATTATGAATAAAGCTTTGTTCAGCATAATATTTGAAACAAGATTAAGATTTTATAATTTTATGAAGTTATAATTTCTCATATCAATTGATGTATTTTTGGTATATTGCCTGTAAAACATTTTCAATAGCAGTTACCTCCTCAAAGTAAACAAATCTTAACAGTTTATAAGTCCTTTTTTTTTTTATATATATATATTTATAATACATGTACAGTAGAGCATCTATTATCCAACCCCCGATTAACCATCACATCGGTTAACCGACCATTCTAGTCGGCGAATTTCAAATGTTTGCTAGTGATGTGGCATTACAATATTTGGCTATGTCTTGGCTACTTTAATATAATTTTTGTTAAATTTTTGCGTGTTTTAGTTGGCATCAGCGGCTTGACCATTGAAGGGAGGCCAATATTTAAACAAGACTTAATTTTCTAATTATGAGTGGTTGTTTGTTTCGTGAGCAATAAAATAATTTTAAAATAATTTTTAACGATACAATAGCGACGATTATTATTTTAAAAAATTTGTTAGGCT